GCGAGCCGTCATGGAGGAAGGGGGCGGAAAAGACGCGCCGGGGGACTCGGGGCCGGCTCTTGAACTTGAGAAAAAGGAAAGTGGCCGTGACGGTGGAAACTTTAGAGGCTGAGGATGAGTAAGCGGGGCTGCGTGAGCTCACTCCTCCGTAATTGCCGGGCTAGCGGCGGCGGGAGGGAGGGGATCTGTTTACGGCCGCCGTATTTTTAGCCCTCGGCTCGCGGGCCCCGGCGCTCCTCTGCCGCCTCGAGGGTCGGTGCCCGTCTGACCTCGCGGCTCCTCTGGGCGCAGCCCCGACGGAGACAGCGCAAAGCTGGGAGAAGCCGACTGGTGAGATTTTAAGAAGTCCTCCCAGAACTTTGCCGGGAGTTTTCTTTTTAAGACTGCAAAGCCAAGAATTAGCAGATTTTGACTTATTTCCCCTATCTTTTTATAAGTACGGTATCAAATGCTTTATCTAGAAAATCAGAGGCTGGTGATTTTTCAGTCGTTGGCTTCTACTGTGTGTTTAGGTGGTCGTGGAGGAAACTGAATCCCTTTGTCTTTCGGGACCGATTTCAAAGGTGGGAAAGATTCGTGTAGAGAGAAGAGGTAGTGGTAGGACTAGCCCCAAAGAGTAGTTAGTCCCGCAATATTTTAAAGACGTTTTTATGGTATATAACTTAAGTTGACATTACATTCCTGATGGGGTAGAGAAGTCTGCAGGGAATTAGGCTGGGTGGCCAGGGAGAATCAGTAGTCAAATATTTGCTGTGCATAATTTCCAGATGAATACATTATAGACAAACAGTGAAGAATTAATTACATTCTTTGTCCTTTTTTTTTTTTTTTTCAAGCAGGTCTTTTAAAATTTAGTAACCAAGCTGGTGTGTGTTAGTCTATTGATATTTTGAAAGCTGAACAGAACTATAAAGTAAATTAAATTGACGTTACTCATGTACAGGCTGAAAAGCAGTCTTCATTTCCACTAGCAAACTGGCATGCCTCAGAGCACCTCCTAGACTAAGTGGCCAGTTACTGTGTACTTAGACTTTGCAAATGAATACACATATTAGATCATACCAAGAATAATTGAGAAGATAAATATGCTGAAAACATATTTCAAAACCAAAATAGATTTAAAAAAAGCCTTTCCTCCCATTTTGGATTATCGGCACCTTTCTGCCAATAATTATCCATTAGCATGAATAATTCAGAATTGAACAAATATTTCTTTGGACATTACACATTAAAGCAAGAAGGAAAAATGAAAGTTTCCAAACTATTACTGATTTTTGTTGGTGTTGCCAGATTTGATTTATCCCTTTCATTTAATACCAGAGTCTCCCTCAATAAATAAATAAATAAACTTTGCCAAAGAAAGAGCTATATGAGGGGCTGGGGTCGTGGCTCAGTGGTAGGGCGCTCACCTGGCACCTGTGAGGCCCTGGGTTCAATCCTCAGCACCACATAAAAATAAAGATATTGTGCCCAACTACAACTAAAAAATAAATATTAAAAAAAGAAAGGGTATAACTTGTATAAGGCAGGATGACCAGTAATAAATGCTAATTATTAGAATTTGGTGTTTTGTCATCAACACCTTGAAAGTGTTCTGAATCATTAATTGCTTAGTATCTACCCCTGTCACCTTGTTTGCTTGGCAAAAAAAATATTTCATTTAGAGACTAAAATCTCATTTTTTAAAATCACTATAACTCTCCCAGTGTCTTGCTTTATTCTCTATGAGTTGGTTGGTGCCAATATGTGTAGATTCCGCTTATATCTGTATCTTGTAACTTCCCTTAGCTGAACTGCATATATTAATCTACGGGGTATGATTAAAAGGGTTGAATAAATTTAGGAATTGAGATATGTAATCAAGAGGGTTATGATGGAATACTTCAATATTAAAAATGTTTCCACATTATTATGGGGACTCTATGTACCACTTATTAAAATTTTGGAGTTCCTGAATATCTCAAGCATGCTAAAGGAAAATGGCAGAGGCCAATTACTGTGAGTCTGTTTCTGTGTATATATAGGGAAATATGCCTTCCTTTACCCACTTACCCCATTGAAAGGAAAGACCCTCTAATCGTGCTTTGAAATGTGACCTCAGTAACATCCTTCTTATGGGAACTCAGAAGCTGTGGAATAGCAGACTGGAATTTTCTCAGTAGCTCCTGATAAATTCAAATAATTAAACATTTGTATAACTGGGGCCAGGCACCTACTTATAAACCCAGCAGTATGGGAGATTGAGACAGGATGATCACAAGTTGAAGGCCAGCCTCATCAACTTAGTGAGGCCCTGTCTCAAAAAAAATATAAAGGACTGGGGATGTGGTATAGTGGTAAAGCACTTCTAGATTCAACATCCCTAGCCGCCCCTCCCCCATTGTGTATTGAAAGGAATCTTGAATTATGTTGATTTTTTTAAATATAGAAAGGACTTTTTCTTCTTTTAAATTAAGCTATCATAAGCTTTAACATTTAGGAAACAGCATATTAACAAAACCAAGTTTAATGTGCTACAAGAGTAGTTTGTAAGGGCTGACAAAACGTGAAGTAACAATTAGATAAACCAGGGGAGATTACTGAACTAGTACATTTTGAAATGGACTTGGGAGGCTATGGATTAGTCATAAAGAGGTGTAGACTATGGAATCAGACAAACCTTGGTTGAAATCTTGGTTTGATTTTTTTTTTTTACAATGTGACCTCGGACGAGTTACTTCTCTATCTATAAAATGAGTATGAACATTCAAGTAAATGAAACAGTTTTTTGGTGTTAGGAAGAAAAGAAAGGATCATCCAAAGAGAAATTATAGAATTTACAGAGTGCAATGATGGTGTGAATGACTAAATTGTGTGTGGGGGGGTCATGAGAATGAGAATATGGGTTGGTCAGGTCATGGGTAGAACAGGCAAGAGGGTGGAAGGACTCAGAGGCCATACTGTTGGATGTTGATAGAAGGGTCAATAGAATCATTGTAGGTCCTTGAACAAAGGATGAATTTAATGAGAAGTATTCAGCCCTTTGGTCCAGGAACTCAGGGACAAGGAGTCAGGCGGGCACCGGTACATGGTGACTCTTCTGGTTCTCTTTACCATTTTGGCTTGAAGGGATGCAGCAATGAGATATAAGATTCCTCGTGAAGTTTTTTGTGTTTACACACCTTACTCTGCTGATTTCTGCTTGTGCCCATCGAAGAGTGTACCGATTTGTGGGGAAATCTTAAGACTATGGCTGGGTTCTCAAGAGCTTATGGTAAGGAGGGTATTATATTTCAAAGTACATTTAACTGTTAATTACTGCTATTAACATAGGGAACACTGATATAGAAATTCAGAATTTAAGAAATTTCTTGCTTTTGAAAATGCATTATATTTTAACCCAGATTTATTTTAGGATTTTAGTGAAGTTGAAATGAGATTTACTTTTCTAAAACAGTTTTACCTGATGGTAAGAATACAATGATGGCAAATAGCAGATAATCTTGAATTAAAGATTTGGCCTTAGAAATCCACAAGGTAAATAATCAATTTGTGGATAACTAAGACTACACTATCCAGGTAGATGAGGTGGTCCATGCTTGTAATCCTAGCTGCTCAGGAGGCTGAGGCAGGAGGATAGCGTGTTCAAATACAGTCTCAGCAAAAGCAAGGTGCTAAGCAACTCAGTGATACCCTGTCTCAAAATAAAAAATAGGGCTGGGGATGGGGCTCAGTGTCTGAGTGGCCCTGAGTTCAATCCCTGGTACCTCCTCCTACCCCAAAAAACCAAATAAACAAAAAAAGACTGGACTGTCCTGAGTATATTAATTTAAACTAATTTCTTTTCAAAATCTGAGTAGGTCCAGTGTGGCCTCTCAGACTGTCTGCCTCATGCCTAAGAATGATTGATAGATGATGTTCCAGCCTTAATGAGCCTTTTACTCACAATATCTGGAGGAATCTCACTGCATTATGCTGCATTTGAAGATTAAGGTGGTTTTCTCAAAGGTCTTGGGATCTGTAGAGGCTCCTTTACATAGCAGCTTTACTCAAAGTCTGTTAGATTTTTCCTTCTGAGGAAAACTTCTTTGAAAATATGGCCAATTTTTTTTTAAAAAAAAGGAATAGGAAGTATATACTTGCAAGAAGTAAAAAAAGAACAAAAACCAAAAACAACTTTAACCACTGTTCTTTTAGTTGACTTGCTTTACTTTATTCCTGCTGCCCCACCCCGGCTTGTAGTTCATTACAAAACTACTTTTGTGATGTCATGAGTACAGGTTAGTACCTCCTGAATGAGGAGGTTGTAGCAATTCTGAGTTGGAAATTAGAGATGAAATAATAGAAAAAATCTTATTTTGTATAGCTAGATTGAGATTATTTTTCAACTGCATGTTTTAAAGATTATGTCTTATCCCTTTATTTCCTCTCAGAAATTGTTTTGGATAGGGGGTGACCTAGTATGAATTCAGTTCTATACTATTGTGCAGAGGATTAGAAAAAAATGACAACTTTGTACACTTGAGTTTACAGTCCAGTTGGAAGTAAGGGAAATAGGAAGGAAAGGAATGAATACCTGTTGATCTTCTGTTAATATGCTCGACACCTTTTAAATGTGAAAATATATTATCAGTTACATAGGATAGACCTAGGTATTTTGGTAGAAGAATTCTAAGGTAGTTATCAATGTTAAATCTTTAAAAAAATCAAAATATATGAGGTACTAAGGATAATAAGGATCATTCTGTTTTTTTTTTTTAAAGAGAGAGTGAGAGAGGAGGGAGAGAGAGAGAATTTTTAATATTTATTTTTTAGTTCTCGGCGGACACAACATCTTTGTTGGTATGTGGTGCTGAGGATCGAACCCGGGCCGCATGCATGCCAGGCGAGCGCGCTACCGCTTGAGCCACATCCCCAGCCCTAGGATCATTCTGTTTTGAAGCTGAAAGGAACCAAGCAAAATCTTGAAAATAGGACCATATCTAAGATGTTGTTGAGGCAGTGATAAGACAGACATACACAGCAATGAAATGTAGTGGGTTGGTTAGTTTGGAGCTATTTTATGTGGGGTCTTAAAAAAAATCGAGTTTTTAAGTTTACATTTTAAGTGATAGGAAATAGGAAATCACTGAGGATTTTTATTAGGATAGCAATATGATGACAATAAGACACAGATTGGCTTAGAGGGAAGGGAGATTGTCACCAGGAGTGTATGAAGTGACGAGGCCTGAGTTAAGATCTGTGGAGGCTGGAATAAGAAGAGTAGAAAAAAGATTCAAAGAAATTAAAATTAGTGAAGGCTGGATATTGAAGATTCAAGAGAGTGACAAGGCAGGTATGACCATGACAAAATAAGTCTGGGTGTCTGAGACATTAATAAAGAAAGAAGTTAGAATGTTTCCTCATTTTTTAGGAGAATATGATTAGTTCTTTGGAACATACTGGATTTAAAGTGGATGAAATATCCAAATGAAAGTTGTTCTGGTTGTGAGAGTTATGAGCCTATAACTGGGATACAGGTGGGGTTAACAAACCTGGAAATGTAGTTTTGCAGTTATTCAGCATAGATGTGGTAGCTGTAGCAAGTTCTCAGAGAACTAGAGTTTAAGGAAAGAGAGGAAGGGCAGAGATAGTGGTACTGGTAAACCTCAACACAAATATTCCCCACAGTCCAGGCCATCAGAATTGGTTCTTCCTTCTCCTTTCCTGTTTTCTGTTCTATTCCATCCAATAACTGCTGGATATCTCCTAAGGACTGAAGAGATGGAAATGGGTCAGAGTCTCTACCTACAAATTATATAACGATCTAATGGGATGAGACAAATGTGTAAATATAGAGAGGGAATGATGTGTGATAGATGCTGCAGTGGGGGGAATGTAGGGGCCCAAAGGCCAATTCTGCCTTAGGCATGCAGAGATTGGAAATAGCCTCCTGGAGGAGATGACATTTGCAGCTGAATATTGAAAGATAAGCATGTTCCCTACAGAAGACTGGGGAGAAGTCACTTCAGGCTAAGAAAGTAGCTTAAACAAAAGTTTAAAGGAATGCAGCAATCAAACTTTTTTTTTAGTAATATGGCTGGAGGAGAGGGTTGGAGGGCAAGGATAGGCTGGGGGCATGGATAGTAAGTAGTAGTATTATCTATTTTGTGTTTGTGCTGGGGATTGAACCCAGGGCATGCTAGCCATGGCCAGTAATTGATGAGCCATTTAAGGATTTTTTTTTTTTTGAGTGACAGATTTCTCATTCAAGAAAGATTATTTATGTTGGTAGTATGAAGAGTAGATTGGAGCAGGACAAAGCAGAAGAACCTTTTAGTAACTTCTTTATGTTTAACCATAACATTTTGTTGAGGGTGATCATGTTTATAGAATCAAAGAACTGTATAGACTATTATGCTTTCTTAGTCTTTCTCATTCATTTTCAAGAAGGTTACTTGAGCTTTACTCTGGATCACAGAAATAGTTTAGTAATGGCTTGGTCTAGAATTCAGTCTTCAGTGGCTGGTATGTATTAGATGATTAATAAATGTGTTTTCTCCCATGTCCCGTTCCAGTGTTTCATTCTGCCACTTTACATTGTGTTAGAAGACAGAGGGACTCTGTCCATTCTACTGTCCTTTTTAACCAGTCCAAAGTGTGAACTCTGATCTCTTCCTAGGTTCTTGAATGAGGAAGACCTACCCTGAGAGTACCTTTTGGAAGAGGGATTTTGGCTTGGGGCAGTTGGTTTCCCTGGAGCGGGATGAATAGTATATTAGGAATCTTCAGCTGTAATAATTCAGATGTTGAAGAATGTCAAGGTATCTGTGTTATTGAGTTTCTCTCTCTCCTGCTGAGTTCTCTTCAAGTTGTTTTCTTGTTCTTTTTGTGGTATTGAGAGTTCAACCCAGGGGTGCTTTACCACTGAGCTATATTCCCAGCCTTTTTCATTTTATTTTGAGTCAGAGTCTCCCCAAGTTGCCTAGGCTAGCCTTGATCTTGTGATCCTTGTGCTTCAGCTTCCCCAGTAACTGAGATTACAAACCTGTGACACTTACAATTGAAGTTTTCTTTTAAACTTAATGTTGAGTTGTGCCAGTGAAACTTTAAAAAAAGGTAAATAGGCTATGAATTATATAATGCCAGACAGTACATTTTATCCCCCCCCCAACAATTTTTGTCATTAACCTCTGTTTTTTTTTTTCTTTTTTTTTTTTTTTTTTTTTTTTTTTTTTTTTTTTTTTTTTTTTTGTGTGTGTGGTACTGGGGATTGAACCCAGGGCCTTGTGCATGTGAGGCAAGCCCTCTACCAACGGAGCTATATCCCCAGCCCTACATTTTTAACTATAATGGATTTTCATGAAGGGAAATTGGTTTTAGAGTTTGGATTTTGATTTTGGACATTTTTGCTGGGGAAAGAACAGAATAGAATGTATCTTAGAATGTCTTAGATTCTCCTGGAGGAAGTTGGGACTCAAGGGACTATAGAAAAGTGGATACCTTCCATTGATGGTCTTCCTGAAAACTTGACTGATCTGTGATTTCCTTATTCTTTTTTCTGAGTTTTGTCAACATCTTCCCCAGAGAAGGGCCTTGGTTTGGAAACTGTCCACTTTAGCAGAGCTGCCAATTCTTAATTCTTTCTCAAGTGGGCAAGGGTACATTTTGTTTTTGTTTGTGAATGTTTGGGGCAAGGGAGGGGAGAGAGGAGGCACAGAAAATCTCCTCACAGTGAGTTTTTGTCTGAATTCCTGTGTAGCTGGAAGTTTCCTTGGCTTTGTTTTGGGGGAGATGACTTGGTTACGCTGGCATTTAAGTTATGTGGAAGGTGGTTCTCGCTCCCTCAGCTATCTGATTTAGAATGGCAATAAAAACTTCCTTCTTGTCCAATATTGTCAGCCCCCTCTCCACACTGTTTTAAATGCCTTGCCTCTTGTGCACACTGCGCGGAAGGGATCGGAGAGCCCCTCTCTAGCCTAAAGCTAAACTAATTAAGTTTCTTTAAAGTTTAGAGGGAATAGATAACTACTCCTCTTGTTTTTGAGTTAATGATTCCTCTATTCTTCCAGTTATCTGATACTTTCTTGATTTAAAAATCATACATAATGTGATATTTCAAACATTTAGAAAATTTTAGGGGAAAAACCCCAAACAGATAAATTTGACCTCACATTCCAAATTTGATGATCAATACATTTTATATTTGTTTTAGATCTATAAAATATAAAGTGTTATAGATTGGCTGAAGTTCTGCCCTCTCTTCCCCTTTGTTAGCAAGGGATTACTGACCTG